GGGTATGTAAGCAAGCGTTTTGTGATGGGATTGGAAGCAAAAAAAAAAAAGAAAAAAAGGTGAAGCAGGCCAGTTGGTTTTGTGTAATTGTTGTTTGATGGTGGATTTCAGCTTGGAGCTTTATTAGTGGTTTTTTTTTTTCATTTTTTTTTTTCAACAGTTGTATATATATATATATATATATATACATTTTTGCATTTGACTCTCGCTCTTCAAGTTTTAGAGATGGGACATTTCGATTCATGCTTGTTTCCCAATCTCACGCTTCCAGCCTCTCAAACCTAACCAAACACCTCTGCCCAGCCGGGCGACTACTAACCAACAAATCCGCCTGCTCCATCTCCCCCGCTCTCATCCTCTCATCCGGCAACGTCCTAAACCTGGTGTACACCTCCCTCAACAAACACTTCATCTCCGCCAGCGCAAGATGCTTCCCAATACACCCCCTTCCCCCCATCCCAAAAGCCATGAACCCCCTCTTCATCCCCCTATCCCTCTCTTCAAACTCCGCTTGTGTCTCCCCCTCGGATTTTAGCCACCGTTCCGGCCAGAAGCGGTCCGGTTCGGGGAAAGTCCCGCCCTTTTCTGGACCTAATCGTTGGACGCTGAGGGGTTGACAGCTGACGATCGTGCCGGGGGGTATTTTGTAACTGTCAATGATGGTGGTTCTGCCTGGTGGTGCATATCTTGGCAGACTCATGGGAATGGCGGGAAACATCCTCAGTCCTTCCATCACCGCCGCGTCGAGGTAGGGGAGTTGGTCAAACGGGGTGTCAGGGGAGGCGGAGCGGAGTTCCGCTTGGAGGGTCTGTTGATAGATGAGAGAAGAAGGTTGGGATAGTTCCCAGATTAGAAAACAGAGCGCGTCGCCTGTGGTGTCGATTCCTGCCGCCATGTGGTCTAGGGATTCGGCCGCGATGTCGATCTGTCCGAGGGGGGACTGGAAGTGGAGGCGGTGGAGGAGGGTGAAAGGGGAGGCGTGGGGTTGGGCGGCGGTGTTGAGGACGAAGGAGTCGGCTAGGGGGGTTTCACGGGGTTTGAGAGAGAGGATGCTGACCATAAAGGTGTTGAGGAGGCGGTGGAGGAGGGGGGAGTAATGGCTCAGGAGCCGGTTTTGGAGGGAGCTGTCAAATGTGACTTCGAGCATGATTTCCGAGTCTTTGGGGTCGGTGAGGGAGTTGGTTGAGTGTGGGTGGAAGAGGTGGAGGGTTACGCAGTCGAAGGCGTAGGCGTGGAGGACTTTTCTGTGTGTCAGTTTTTCACGTCTTGATAGCAGTTATATATGTTGATCTGGCAGCACTCACGGACCTACAGAGTCAGTTAGCAGCATATCCTTTCACTCAAAAAAGGGAACTCGCGTATAAATCCACCCCCTCCTTTCCCCCCTGTCCACACAACTCCCCAAACGTCCTCGCCCGCTGCTTGATCCCCTCCATAACCCCCCCCTTCATAATATTACTATTCGCATACCGATCCGCCAGCAATCTCTTCCTCTTTGCATGCTCACTCTTCCCCAAGGTAGTGAACATTGTTCGCCGGTCATACACCTTGAACAAATCATACCACTCGGTCTTGTCGTAGCCGCTCCCATTGCTGCAGTAGATTTCTTTTGCGGCAGCAGCCGAAGCAAAAGCGACCTCGTTGGGGGCGATGCGGACTACGGGGCCGTAGCGGAGGTGGAGGGAGTGGATGTAGGTGGTTCGTGCGGCGGTGAACTCGTGGTATTTGAGAATGAGGGAGGTTAGGCGGGCGTAGAGGGGGCCTGGTAGGGGGTCTCTGGAAATGAGGGGAGATAAGAGGTAGATGAGCAAGAGGGCGAGGGCGAGGAGGACGAGGAGAGGTGTCATATTGACAGAGACTACTTTGGAAACGGCGGCTAAGAGTGTGTGAGTAAAGTATTCATGAAAAAATAGGAACGGGGAACTGAAATACGTATGATATGGCCCTCAAATCGGATAGAAACCCACAATATTCCACCGCTGATGGACCTCAGTGCAGAGACTCATCCGGCCGGTCGGGAACCTGTGGCACTTTACAAAGTCCTGTCTCTAAAACTGCCTGCTACTGAGGTCTTCACTCTTGGAGTTACGAAAGTGAGAATGAGCGTGTGTGGGGTGGATATCAAGTTCTTCAAACAATTAGATAAGAGCAAAGCTTATGTGATGCGAGGCGTCCCTTATCTAGGCCGTTTCTGTGTCATTCCCTGATAGGCAAGTTGGAGAAGTAGTACAGGCTGCGGGGGTCCTGACATCGGATCGGGAGAGGTACCGGAGCCGAGCGCCGATGGTATCCGGGCCGGTGAGATGCGTTCAAGATATTGGTTTTTTAGTCATTAATCGAAGTGTTATACAAAGCATATCATGGGAGATCTATCTCAAGGCTGGACCTCCTGACACTACATTCCGGTTGGTTCTGGGTCTTTGTCCTGCAACCTACCACCCCTCCATTCCAGTCCAAATAATAATCCAGCCACCGACCCTAACCCTCATCCAAAGGCCGGCTGGTGTAGTGGTTATCACGTTTGTCTCACACACAAAAGGTGCCAGGTTCGATCCCTGGGTCGGTCAAAAGATAACAACTCCTGATTTCAGGAGTACCCTTTCCATTTTACGTTTTTTCTTCGCAGACTGGG